GTAGCTGTATTAGGTGGTTATCTCTATGCTATTGGTGGCTCTGACGGCCAATGCCCATTAAATACTGTTGAACGCTATGACCCAAGGTTTGTGTCTCAATTCGAATAAGCCTTTACTTAGCCTTATTTACTAATTTTTTTTCAATACAGGCAAAATAAGTGGTGTGCCGTCAATCCCATGTCCACTCGCCGCAAACATTTGGGGTGCGCTGTCTTTAATAACTACATATATGCCGTCGGAGGGCGTGATGATTGCATGGAATTGTCTTCAGCAGAGCGCTATAACCCGCATACAAATACATGGAGTCCCATTGTGGCGATGACATCGCGTCGCAGCGGCGTAAGTTTGACTAAAGAATAAAAAAGCAACAAAAACGCATTATTTATTTTTATACATTTTCTTAGGTTGGCTTGGCCGTAGTAAATGGACAGCTATATGCCGTTGGCGGATTTGATGGCTCGGCCTACTTAAAAACAATTGAAGTTTATGATCCCGAAACAAACCAATGGCGTTTGTGTGGTTGTATGAATTACAGACGTTTAGGTGGTGGCGTAGGTGTAATGAGAGCACCACAGACTGAAAACTATATGTGGTAAGTGTTTTTGCTGGAAATTGTATGCTGATTTAAGTATGTTCCTCTGCTTGTAGGATACGCAAAGATTCTGTTGTTTGATTGAACCCAGAGGTGTGTTATTATTGAAGCCGTGGCTACGCTATAACTATTTTGCGTTGCTACGGTACATTTTAAGGCTCTTAAGCTTAAACTAAATTTATAATAAGCAAAGGATATAAAACACTACACCCATAAAAATAAATAAAATCGAATAACCTACACATATAAAATTAATTAAAAATTATATAAAATTAAGTGCGCATGAATTCCATTTACAAAAGATAAAATAAAATGCGTTGTTTGCCGGTTGCCTGTGATGATAATGTGGATTGTGTATTGGGGCGAACGGCAGTTATGCGTTTAGCCAAATATCACTTTATAAATTTATTAACCAAGCATTTCCACACAGCTATTTTGAACAGCTCTATGTCCCGTGCGCTGTAATAGCAGTTGGCAAGCAATTGCTTACAAACAAATATAAAGGCAATGCTGTAGCCTATGCAGTGCACGGGACACGCAAACCTATTGATTTGTAACTGAATAAAAATGCGTTAAGCTAAGAATATAATAGATGAAAAGAAATTGAAATATATTAAAAAACATAATTAACGAAAGCATGGGTATACAAAATTTTAACTGCCTTCAAATTGAAAATAACGAGTAAAATAATATTATTAAGCTCACGACCACCAGTATCTATTCGAAAGCTTAATCCACACAGCAAAAATATGTCCTTTTTTGTTTCTTTAGTTTTAGTAAACTTTGCAATGTAAAAATTACGTGTAAATGCATTATACTGTCAAAGAAGTAGTTCTTATATTATAATAGCTGACGATGAAATATTTATTTTATAACTTATGAACGCGTGTAATCAATCTCTTTTTCACTCGCGTTAAATACTTTTTGTACTATTGCTCCTTCAATAAAAATCAAGTCAACTTAAAACGAACCTGAAACGTGCACCTTCCACTCATAGGTATAAGCTACTAAAAAATGTTAACAATTAACAAATTAATAAAAAGCAAACAAAATAAAAAAAGATATGGATTGTAAGCGATGATAACCAAAAAGATATGTATATCGAGGAATTAAAAAAAAATAAAATAAAATCATTACCAATTAGTTATTAGCGTGGGCCGAAAATCCGCTTTTTAAGAATTTTGAATGGTAATAGCAAAAATGTTGTTTATTATGCTCTAAAAACAATCTGTGTGAGAGATGACAATTTTTGGTCAATATCTTAGGCTCGTCGAAGTCCATCAAAGTTCAATGTGCTCAAAAATTAAAATTAATAAATACATTAATTAATATTTTTTTAAAAATAAAATTGCAAGTATCTTCGAAAGTACTAGTCCTACATAATTTGGTATATGGACCTTTTTTGTAGAGAATCGAAGTAAGCTAAGAAAATTTTTTTATTGCACTTGAACTTTAATGGACCTGGGCGAGCCTAAGATATTGACCAAAAGTCGTCATTTCTCACACAAATTATTTTTAGAGCATAATGAACAATACTTTTGCCATTACCTATCGAAATTCTAAAAAAGCAGATTTTCGGCCCACGTTATTAGTTATGTTAAGCAAATTTGTGGCATTCAGCTTGATTTCTACCTACATGATTAGTTAAATGCCCTTGAATAAAGCACATACATAATGTACATACATATTAATATCTGGCATACATATGTGTGTATAATTCAAATTCACTTTTGGAAAGTCCTTTTATATACCTAAGTTTATTATAGTAATTCTTTATTTCCACATTGAATTGATTGACTAATTATCTTTGTAATGTAAATAAATATATGTACATATGTATGTGTGTATGTATGTAGACTCCAAATACGTACATATGCGAGCAGGTATTTGTAAAATTATGCGCATTGTTCTTTGCTGAAAAAAAAATAAAATGTTGATAAGTAAATTAAGAGATTATTATATGCAAAACAAATAAAATAAAATTTACGAAAAACCGGTCATTGACAAAACCTCTAGAATGAGTTGCAATTACGTACTACTGTGAAATGATTAATACTAATAAAGTATCAACAATGGAAATCATTATTAAACATGTTCAACTTATTACCGTAAAACTATTCAGCTCGTATTTGATTTTTGCACAGCAACTGACTTTTGAGCTGCGCTGAATAAAATGTGCACCGTCGCGATCGCGACAATGGCGCAGGTATAGCAGACATCACTCATCACTCGAACTATTTAACGTTTATATACTGTCACCGCTGTGGTGTAGTGGTTAGCAGTGCAAAATACCATTCCGCAGGGCCTGGGCTCAAGCCCAGTTTCCCAACAACATAAAAAATAGAAAACAAAAAAGGTTTTTTTCAAATAGGGGTGCCTCTCGGCAAACAATGGCAAAACCTCAGTCATGAAAAAAGCTTCTCATAAAAATACAATCGTCGTCGTTGTTGTTGTTGTTGTTGTTGTTTTGTTGTTGTTGTTGTTGTAGCGGCTACAACAACCCCGCCCAGATCGGTAGATATCTCAGTCGTTGTCGTCAAGCTCCACTAACAGAAGCCCTAAGAAGCGTGCAGCCTCAATAGGGTCGGTCCACAGGGGCAAAGGCGTTAGGGTTGTCGGGTTTTCCGGGCATACGAAGAGATGTTTCGAGTCATGGGGTGTTCCTCCGCATGTCGGACACTCTCATTTGGCACACCTGCGTCTAGTCTGCTCAGGTATTAGTTTAACCTGCTGCAGTAGTTAGAGCGCAGTTGGGCTATTGTGGTTCTAGTCTCCCGAGGCAGATGAAGCTCCGTCTCGTCAATGTCCGGTGGTTGTGCGCCTAGAACGGCATTCACAGGTCTGGAGTCTACGTAACTCGAGACTGACTCCCTGTGAATGCCGTTCAGGGCCTGTCGATAAGCTGACGGGTCCAGAGGTTGTTTAATGAACCTCTGGACTTCGTCCGTCAGTTCGTAGAGATGCCTCCTGACGTGCCTGGGCGAGGGCTCTTCTGCAAGCAGTTGCCTATTTGGGTGGCCACGTCTATGGCTCACAACAAGAAACTGCTTGCAGAGCATTGTGTTGTGCTCCCTTATCGGGACATTTTCGCCTCGTCGTACATGCGGTGTTCTGGCGACATCAGAAGGCATCCAGTCGCTGTCCATAGTTACTCCGGGTATTTTGGGGTTATTCACCGTCGGAATTGGTGTATCCTCGACGTGACGCAGAGGATTTTGTAGAGGAGAGGGTTAGGCTCCTTGCAGTGAAGAAGCGAGAAAGCTCGGAAAGATACCCGTTTACTTTCGAGCACAAGTCATCAATTCCATTCCAAGTCGCCATGATCGAGCAATCGTCGGCGTAAGAGACAATCGAGACTCCCTCTGGTGGTTGAGGGAGCTTTGAAATATAAAAGTTAAACAGTAGCGGGGAAAAGACACCACCCTGTGGAACCCCCTGTTTTATTTTCCTGAGTTTGCTCGATTTGTCTCTAAACATTACCGACGAGTGTCGACCAGTCAGATAATGCGCCGACCACCGTTTGAGCCTCTGTGGGATCTTCTAGTAGCGTGGAGTGGCTGACGGTGTCAAACGCCTTTGACAGGTCCAACGCTACTAGAATAGTTCTCTCACAGGGACGGTTGTGGTTAATGCCACGAGTTATCTGAGTGTTTATGGCGTTACGTGCTGTTGTTGTACTGTGCACTTTACGGAAACCATGCTGATGCTTCGCTGGGGTCAGGTGGATCGTGAAATACGGGAGCAGCAAGGCCTCTAGTGTCTTCGCTACAGGAGAAAGGAGTGTTATCGGGCGATAAGATTCTCCTTTGTTGGCTGGTTTCCCCGGTTTGAGCAGTGGGACCACTCTCCCCACCTTCCAGGTGTCTGGGATGATGAGAGTGGCTATTGACATATTGAGGACCTCCGTTTGGTACGCTACTCCCGCAGGACCCAAATTTTTCAGCATCAGCATGCATATTCCGTCCAGACCCATGGCTTTGGAGGCTTTCGCCTTCCCGATGGCCACCTGAACTTCACTGCTAGTGAAAGTAAGGGGGGCACAAGTGGTTGGCAGTTTGTGCAGCCTTCTGGTCACTCGACGCTTGGCGTTGTCCGCCGGAGGATGCGGTATGAACTGTCGGCTAAAATAGCTCGCGCATCGCTCCGGGTCCGACGAAGAAATTTCGACCCTGTCGTCGTGCTTCGTCGGATTGGACAGTGACCTCACGGTTGACCAAAGCTTACTCACACCAGAGGTGAAGTTGCAAGTCTTCAGATGCTCTTCCCACTTTTTCCGCTTATATACGTTCAAAAGCTGCCGAATCTCCGCGTTGAGATCCCTGATACGGGGATTTCCGGGATCGGCCTGATGAAGGTTGTCACGATCATCGGCTAGAGCAGCTGCTTCAGCAGGGAAGTTTGGACGGGGGTCCGTGATGCATCCTGCCGGTACGAAGCGAGCTGCAGCTACAGTGACCACCCTGCGAAACTTACGTTCACCAAGGTGGACGTCGGTTGGCGTGGGGACCATCTCAGGGCCTGTGCCAAATGATAGAAAAGAGAAAATTTTGACGGATCAAAGTAAAAATCTGACATTTCTCGTGGTGAATAAGAACGTCAGAATTTTACCTAGCTCATGGGGCTAGGTAAAATTTTGACAGCTTATAACCATGTATACACATAATATTGCTTGGGGGTAATAAGGAGTGAACATGAAAATGAAAGCTGAAACAGCATAAAAAAGCGTACGTTACTTGCAAATTATAAAATAAATATAAATTTTAAGAATTTCAGCAACACACAAAAATAAAGCTTTCGCACGAGCGTTTGTTTGGTTTTTCAACTGTCAAAATTTTACTTTGCATTTGACACAGCAAAATTCAATTTATTTGTACACCATAGCAAATTTTTCCACCCCGTCTCACCACGGAGAAAAAAGTTACCGATTGGCACAGGCCCTCAGTGAAATTGTTAAGTGCTGTCATTTTTATATGGCGAAACCAACTCAACAGCCATAACTACGTGGTTAGCTCCGGTGGGGACATGGAATTAGAGAACTTGAAACGACAACCAACTATTATTTAACACCGCAAAAATTCATAATATGACTTTGATGGTACTTTACGGACCCCTTTAATGTATTTTTTAGGCGTTTAAAGTTTGCGACATACAACAATACGACACTTACGACACCGTTGTGAATACGCAAGATATGTATATGTATATTGCACCTTATGTTAAAAAATATGTTGACCACAAATCGAGTATCTACTGTACCCGTCTCATCAGCTGATCTTTGAAAACATTTGTTTTGGCGCGCGGGCGCGTTTGTTTCGATTTTTGATGGATTTCTTCACAGGTCAGTTTTTGTTATTATAAAAAGTATTTGGTTTTTCGCAAAAATGTCGTCCCGAAACTACGTTCCAATGCAACAAAAGTATAGTCGCGTAATTGTGCTGGTGGACATGGACTGTTTCTTTTGTCAAGTCGAAGAAAAACTTGATCCCCAATTGAAGGGACAACCGCTAGCAGTGGTGCAGTACAACGCATGGCGAGGTGGCGGGTAATTTCTAAAAAATATCAAAAGTAGGTTTATTTAAAAAGCTAACTGTGGTTCAATATTAAATAGAATTATTGCGGTC